TAGGTTTGCAGATGTAGCTTATGTTGCTCTTATATACAGCAACCAGCTGGGTTGCGACGCACCTGATCAGCGTCAAATCTAGATGAGCTGTGCCTAGAGATGATTTCGGACTTGCAACAGCAGACGTCAGATTCTGGTGTACATACAGCATGTACTGTACATACATTTTGCGTCAACACTCTGATGTCTTTCCGCACGAGCGTTTGGCATCTTGGCATTGGCACAGTCTGATCTGGCTCTGCGGTAACGGCCTACTTGAGCATTCACTGACTGTCACGGGATCGCGTGCCAGGGTGGTGTCAGGGGTATCCCTTTTCCAGCGGCGACGCGCCGCTCGCATAGCGCGACTTCTCTTTCTTCTTCGCGCTGCGTCTTGTATCTAGATCTGACCTTACGGGTCATCACAGTCTAATTGTTGCTTCTAAGCCTGCTCCGTGAAGCTGCGACCTTGACACTGACAAGGGTGACCCACACATAGGTTAGAGCAATCAATGGCTTTTGTTTCATCAAGGCCAGGGGTCTGAAGCAGGTTGAAGGGCCAGTTTTAATTACCCAACATCTATTATTGGAGATAGAGATGTGTAGATCCACTCTAAGCTGACCTCCATCACGTCTACGATGTAGATACGTAAATCAAACAAAATAGCTGCACTGTGTAAGAGACATCAGAGAGTTGTGACTACATACATGGCTGACCCGGGAGAGTGGCACCGCCAGAGAAGAGTCGTAGATTGGGCCGGAACTGGATCCCGCGGACAGGTAGACGGAGGAGTAGAACCTCATTATGTGGCTGGGAATATTCACCATCTAGTCAGAATCGGCTCTTTGGAGTATTAACTAGCCCCAATGGTATGAAGACAATCGGAATTGGATGCCGACCTCGCGGACAGTGGACACAGCCAAGCAAGGGCCTTATTGCTTGGCTGGAAAGGCTCCCCCAAAAGCCGAAACTGGCTCCTAGAAAGAGCTAGTTGTGAGTCCGACGGCCAGGCGATGTGCTGGTGCGGGCAAATTTGTTGTTGCTTGCTGGGATGCCCACTTCCAAAAGCCATAAAAGGCTTTCAGCAGCGCGTAGTTGCACCAGTGCCAAAGGTCGAATTCCGGTCCGCTGTGGAAGTCGCAGGATGGGCAGGCATTGGATCTTGCAGCCAGGGTACAGTATGTGGCAGAACAACCAGAATCCTTGTTGTAATGAAGGGAAGTCGAGGTCTAGAAATTGGCATTCATCGCCGTTGGGACTACTTGCTTCCAGCCGCTTTTGGCTGTTGGGGTAAGGGCTTCCCAGCCACACACCAAGGACCTTACCGACCACACCATTTCCAATGTCGAAAAAGTTGGATCTGGCTCTTGTTAGGCGCTATTTAGGATGTCCGCAAAATCCATTTCCAGCTCCCTTCAACCGGCTGAGCCTGGATCGAGATTGTCCCCAGCCACACAACGAAGATCGTGCTTGCTGAGTCTGTCTCCTGTTCGCAAGATCCAAATCTAGCTCTTCTGGAAAGCCATTTCTTACTTTTGGATTCCGGCTTTGGGAACTTTGGAAGATGATCTCCCCAGCACGCGACTAGGGTCTTGCCCTGTTGTGTAGAAATTGATGCCGAGGCCTAGAGATCCAGTTCCAACGTCGCCGCAACGATGAGGCAGGTGCCGGTTCTGGCATTTGATGGAGGATGTCCCCAGCCACGTCCCCAGCCACACAACAAGGGTCCTCCTTGTCCCACTACCTACACGCTCCATATCTGACTCTTGCAAGGAACTGATTCCGGCTGGTCTTCCCAGCCACGCAACAAGGAGCTTTCTTCCTCTACTACTTACGGTGACTGCAAAATCCATATCTGGCTCCCCATTGCTATGTTGAAACGTCCGGAACATGCTAAGAGCCTGTTGGGCTCCCAAGATCCCAAGATGGGCCATCCAAGCTACAGTACACAGCGAGCACCTTGCTGTGCCGTGCATGGTCCCCGAAAAGACCCATTTCCCGCTCCTATTAACATAGTGGAAAGTCATAACCTGGAAAACCGGTTTTAGCGCACCTGCGACAATGACGCGGAAATCATTTCTGGCTTTTGGTCGAGAATCTTCCCAGCCATGTAACAAGGAGCTTTCTTGCTCTACCACGTGTTCTATCTGCACAATTTATAACGAGCTCCTGAAGGAGCAGGTTCTGACCTTTCATGGAAGGCGTTCTCCACCGTCCGGCAACGACTCTAATTGCTCTGCTATATTTCCGTATGCAGAATCCATTTACAAATCCCAGTCGTTACATTGGAAATCCGTGACCCAGAAATCGGCTTTTGACGCCGCTACACTTCCATCTTGAGATCCTGTTTTCGTAGGAGTCACTATCCCCAGCCATACAGCGAGCACCTTACTTCACCGTGTACCCTGTCCGCAGGATCCTGTTCCGGCTCCTAGCCTACGTCACTCTAGATTGAGCTCCGAAATCCACTTTGACAGCGATTGTGCACATGGCGAGCAGCAATGAAGCGAGAGAGTCGCCTTTCTTGCTCCCCATTCCTTCAGTTGTGGCGGTGTCCGCCCGCTTCCGCTATGGGCCGAGCCACAGCGCTTGACAACAGTACTAGCGACCCATCAGCCTGGAAGAGACGATTGACTGACGGTAGCCGTGAGAAACGCAAGCGAATCAAACGGCAATCCTGTTAAACCACCGAGGCTGCAATCGTGTGTCGGTCCGTGCTCATATTTGCAAAACTGAAACTACTAACGAAATACTGCCACCCGCAGAGACGAGGCATTACCCACTCGAGTTCCTGGATCCGAGGTCGCTGAACAGCCGACTTCGTACGAAACTGAACCTCCCTGCGGTCGACCAGTGACTCACATTCTCCCTCCATCTCAGAATCCGTACTTAAGGCCATCCTCCCAAGCACTGCGAGCATCTGGGGTCCATATGGTCGCGTTGCCGCGGGAAAGGGCGCGTCGATCCTCGTCCTCTTGGATGAGCAAGTCCTCGGCCCGACGGCTGAGTAGAGGGTACAGCGAGTCGCATTCCTACATGGCGCGGGGAGGAGCGAGATACAGAGTGTTGGCGGTCTACAAGAGAGAATGATCTTAGTGACTGGGTGAAAAGGCGCGGCGAAGGGATACCACCCACCTCAGTGTCATTGGGGTCGAGATTTCGACAGTGGTCCCCAAGAGTGTAGCCGGCCGACGTTCGCATGATGGCATCAAGGTCGGTCTTGCCATTGCGGAACTGGCAAAGAAGATGGGCCCTGAGGATTATATCGCCATCTTCCGCGGGCCACCAGAGGCGAACCTTGACTTGACGTTGGCTGGCAACTGGAAATCCTTGAAATAGTTCGACACCCCGTCGTTCCCGGGAACATCGCGGAGAGAGCGGAGGTGTGCGGCGCAGCCATCGACGAGCGTGTCGATGACCAGAGAGGGGGTTGTAGGCTTTGTCGGGAGTGGTCCCGGCGCAGTCGACCTCGGCGAAGATAACGCGACAGGCGACTGCGTCGAACGAGCCGCCGGAGAAGTCGTCCTACGCGGGGCTGGCAGCGTCGTCCACGTCGGATTCCGCCATGCTAGGCTAGCGGAGAGAAAAGTCAGCGTGGAAACGAGGCAGGCGATAGACGTCGCAGATGTGTTACTTATTGAGCCGCCGGGGAAGAAGTGCGGTCTCGTCCGTTGCGTTGATCTTCTGCGGTGGGAAAAGCTGCTGCGATGGCGGGCGTTTGGCGGAGATGATCGCCAGGGACGAAGGAAGAAGGACCCGCTGCGAAGGGGCATTGATTAAAATCCCTGCCTGTGCTTATCTAATAACGAACCAAGTGCCTCTTCACGTTGTGTCGCACCTTCTTCATCCCACCTGCTGCCTGCCTGCCCGATTTTCCACTCCTATTTCACCTCACTCACACTTTCCAGCTATCCTGCCTAGGCCTAAACACCTTTTTCGTCTCACTCTTTGGCCTCATTTCCAACAACAACAACAACAACAACAACAACAACACTTCGGCGTTGGTCGCCCTTGATCAACCACGGATGCCTCCGACTCTCCATCTAGCCCTCCAGGCTCACCAGCATCAGCGGGTTAGTCGGCATCATTTGCGCTGTTCCGTTCGTTTCGATTTATGTCAATTGCAGACTGTCGAGATCCTCTTGAGTGCTCTGCGGATTAGAAGCCTGCGAAGCCGAGTAAGAGAGCGCGGCGGTTATCCTCAACAACCGCCCCCCCCCCCGGAAGGAAGCTCCGAGGCTAACAATGCCACCGCGTGCTCGTCCCCGAATGCCGCCTCTAGCGAACTGGCCCTCCGAACCGATCCTCGACTGCCGCGAACCGCCGTCAACCTTGACCCGTCCCCCGCCGTAGTTTCGGCCTCCGCATTCAACCACACCCTCTCGGCGCGATGCAAAATCCAACGAGGCGGGTAGGTCGTCGACGAGGACCTGATGCAAGGATTATTTGTGACCGGCGCCCGCCGCGCTCCATGTCCGAGCTGGGACAGACGGCATGCGTGCGACTACAGCTGGGATTGTCTTCGGGCAAAACTGGCATCCAGCCGAGTACACTTCGACAACGAGAACGAGGCTGTGTACCTACGTCTCGAGTTCGATGGCCAGCCTCCCTACCGACCGTCCACGCCGATCAAGCACGACGGGCAGTTCAGAATCGTTCTAGACCAGGTGCTGTTTTTCTGCCACGACTGGATCGCCAACGCGGCCGACGCTCGCGAGGTTACTCTTTACTGGGACATTCGCTCGCGCTATGATAATCCGTCCGAGACCGCCTCCTCGGAGCAGCAAGACGTAGACGACGCTCTCCCGGACGCGGGCCACGACTCGAAAGCTCCTGGCGGCGACAAGGACGATATCGACGACAAAGACGATTCCAACGACAACGATAACGATGTTATCTTTGTCAGCGCCGGTCCCGTGGAACACGCTGCGGATGTTGACCTACTCATAAACTCACGGATGACGCCGCCGGCTGGCGCAGGACGTGCCACTTCTTCGATCATGACGAACGCCACATGACTATGGATCCGGAGCACCGCCGCCAGCTTCCCGGCACGAAGTGGAAACTGCGACCGCATCAGCTCGACGACATCCGGCGTGTGATCGAGCAGGTCGCCACGGACAGACACCTCGGCGCCCTGCTTGCGCATCCCATGGGCGTTGGGAAAACCATCACCTACCAGGCCGTGATCGCGGAACGTCGACTGGCGTACATCAGCCGACTGCACGCCGCAGCCCACCCGAGCTCCACCGCAACCGGGATGGACCTCACCGCTGTGCCTGCGTGGCCGACCCTTCGGTATCCAATGCGCTTGCGAGACAGACGGCTTGACGGCCGGTTTCTTCGAGAGGTTCCCGAAGGCGCGACTCTTGTCGTGGCCTCAAGCTCTGTCGTACCTCAGGCGGTCAAGAATGCTAAGGCATACTTCCGTCGTACCGTCACCATCCACTTGCCGTTGGGTGAGCCGAACAAGCCCGACTCCACCGAGACATTCGATTTCATCAAAATCGTCGACTGGCGAATCGTGGCAAGTGCCAAACACGCAGAGGTCGCAGCAGCGCGGGCTGTGTGCGAATACACTGCGGCGGCGGACTTGCCCACCAAGACGCGGATCTCCCAGACGTACGTGGAGTGGGAGGAAGACGGCTCGAAGCTTCTCCGGAACGCCAAAGTCCACTCGACGATGACACCTCCGGCCGTGGACGCCACCCAGCTTGTTTTGGTCGTCGGCCAACAGCGAGTGAGCGTTGACAAGAGCTGGCGCAGGCTTTGGACCGAAGTGATTGAGCTGCCGATACGCAACGGCCGACAGGCGAGGGTTTTGGTCGGCGGCGCATACTTCTTCGGCCTCATCGTGTGGGACGAAGCCCACCAGAGTTCGCGGCCTGAACACGACCACCGCAAAGGTCCTATGGGAGATGGTGTCGCGGCAGACGCGCCCGACCGATGGTGGTGTTGGCCACTGGGAGCCCAATCACTAGTGGTTTCAAGGACCTGGCGCTGATGCTTTCCATGATCCGCGACCAGCCGGGGCAGCGGCAGGCCCTTGCTATCCGGGCCGATCTGGCCAACCTCGACACCAAAACGGCCAGTCTCCAGAAGGGATCCGGTGAGCTTGTCGAGGGCAGCGAGAGTAGGTCCCTCGGCAAAGACGTCATCGCGGAGTGTGCTAGGTTTCTAGGGGGCGACATCATCAAGCGGGACCCTACCAGCTTGTTTTTTGGTCATCCGATCATGGAAAAGAAGGAGGTTGTTACGGAGCGGGTCGAATGCCCCATCGACCTCGAGTTACGGACGCCATAATGAGCCTCGTCGTCAAGGTGGGCAGCGCGGTTGTGCAGAAGCTACAGGCCACCCGGGCAGCAGACGGTGACGGCGGCGGCGATGACGCAGCGCCGCGTCGATCGAAGCGTCGCCACTCACCTGCCAGGCCTTCTGCGGGCGCGGGAGACGACGCAGGTCGAGGCTCGCTGGACGGACATCGTCGATGTGATCGGATACGGCAAGGGCCTGCCTATCCCGCCGACGTACGTCGACGAGGCGCGCGTGCCTCCTGGCATCTGGCACAGCCTGAGCGACATCCTTGCCGACTGCAGCCGGACGGCGAACCTGCTCAACATCTGCACGAAGGTTTTTAACGATCGCCAGGTCTATCCCGATGATGCCGAGTGCGGGCCCGGATTCGGCGGTCCCAAGAACGTCGTCATCTTCACCAAGTGGCCTGTTCTGGCCTATCTGGTCCAGCTGTGGTTCGAGAGGAGGGGATACGACAGATTCCACGCAGCGCTCGTCCACAGCGGCGTGCCGGGGGAACAACGCCAGAAGATCACCGACTGTTTCTGGGAGTTCAACGAGCCACGCGCCGGGGCCAGCGGCGAGTACGAGCCCAAGCGACGCACCAAGGTGTTCATCACCACATACGCAGTCAGCGACACCAGCCTCGACGCGCTCAAGGTGGCCAACTACTGTGTCCACTTTGGCGTGATGAAGAACGTCAACGAGGAGAGGCAGGCGACCAGCCGGATCGATTGACAGGGCCAACTCCTCACGAGCTTCGTATACTATTTACAGTCGGTGGTCGAACCCTCGATCAGCTGACGGCGTGGATGAGGGATATTAGGAGCACGCTTTTTAGGGAGGGGGGACTTCTGGAGGAGGTCGTCAGGCTGTTTCAGCCGCAGTGCCAGGCGGTCCAGACAGGATCGCAGTAAGAAGGATGGTGCGGCCATGCTTGTGAGAAGGTCTGGTAGACCCTTGCTTGAGATGATGAGCTGAATTGATGAATACGGATTGTTGCCACGTCCTGTCCCCTGTCTAACATGCTGGTCTTCTTACCTCTCCTTGTCCAAATGCCTTTCGATCTTCCACGCGTTGCCACTGAATACAAAGGAGACCCTGTATGTCACGTTACGTTAGAGCCTGGGTCCTCATATTGCAAGGGATCTATTGGAAATCTCGTATTGGATTGCCTTCGTCGCCTCGTTGCGAGTTTCCGTGGTATGTGATTTCAAGCTGCTTAGATGCAATCCCTAACTAAGCTCAGCTCGACAATCTTGACTGCCCCTTGCACGCTGAGTCTGGCAAGCGGATCACGTCCAAAGCTGCTTCGCGCAGATGCTGGTGCATCTCCAACACAGCCTTTTGTGGCGCGCACGTCTCCAAAAACTCCCCTCCTCGCAAAGTCGGTATCCACAAACCGACACCAGAACAGTGCATGCTAACATTCCCTGGCGAGTGGCTCCTTGATAAGGAAGCCCATGCCTACTCGAACAAGAGCCTATCCATATTCATCCTCAAGCATAGGCTAACGTTAATCACGAGCAGCGTTCTTAGCAACGACCACAGGGACATTTCTAACGAGGGTATCATTCAATTACTACAGCTCTTGGACATACTCTGGCTCTCGGCTATTCGATTTACGTATGGCTCTTCAGCCTCTCTCAGACTTTCAATCACAATAAGACCCTGCATCTCCGTTTCGCCCACGACTACCTCAGAAGTAGCTCCGACAATTGCTGGAGCATTTCTCATCCTTGACGGTGCTGTTAATCTGTACGGGTATTTGGCCTAAACCCAACGACATGGTCGACCTCAGAAACTTTTCCGTGCCCTTCTCAGCAGGAATGGAGACGGGTGCCTCACCAAAGTTGTACATCGAATCTGCCTTTCTTGGCCTTTTGAGCGGTTCATTCGTGAATGGAAGAGAGCTGGCTCTCCGGGCCGAAGCATTGAGTTTGTGGTGTCCTATCATTGACAAGGAAAAGATACAGACGAAACTGATCGGGATGACGAGGAGTTGATAGTCGTCTTATTCCCGGACGAGGTATTGCTCGATGAACACCCTTGCTCCGATGAAACCTCGTCAATAGGCATCAAGTTTTCAAACAATATGAACCGTCCGCGCAGTCCCCCACACCACTGTTATTCTTTGGGGCCGATATATCGACTGCTGGCAGCTAACGAAACCGGCTAGAAGGAGTCTCGCATTCGGAGAAGCACCACCCGTAAATGGGCCATCAACACTGTTTTGATCCTCTTGGTTCGCCAGCGGGCCGGCGTCTCCGCAGGCTTTGACATATGATCTCCCTTCTTTCGTCGCCTTGTAACAATCGCGACATCGCTTGCGATCCTTGCGGGTAGCCAGCCGGGCCCAGGGAGCGTTATGAGGGGAAGGGCATCCTGGGCAATAGAGGGAAATGCTTCGAAACGGCATTGGGCCCCTGTATTAACCACGGAGCGGGTCTGGGCTGAAAGGTGGTGGGTTCTCTCGAGTTCGGATTTGGTTGGGAGACAGATTGCTGGAAGCCTGAGACATTGGCGAGACTGTGCTTCTGTAGCTTGTTTAAAAGTTTCATATCATAGCCACATCGTTCAACAACAGGGAGCCAATTGTCATTGGAAAGGTGGTTTCCGATATTGTTAGCTGGAGTACATTTAACGTACTCGTTGGTATCTTGCCAAATTCTTTTCATCTGTCCCGTGAATTCCAGGAGCCCCAATTCAGGGTTGTCAATATTTGGGAGTGTAACCTGGTGCCTGAATTCCTCGCAAGGCTGTTCCATAGCTATATCGGTCGGGGTCGAGTCGGTGTCATTTGAAGACTCCTGAAGTCAGCACATGCAGACGCTGAGGGAATTTGATGGGTAGTACATCAGAGACACACTGGTAAGCGCACTGAAGGGTGGAATGCTTAGTTCTCATATGGCGAGTGAGACTGACTCTTTGCGTGAAGCGTTCGGTACAGTATTGGCATCCGAAGGGACGCTCCCCAGTGTGCGTGCGGGTATGGAGAGTGAGATGACTTCTCTGCACGAAGCTTTTGGTACAGTATTGGCATCCGAAGGGACGCTCTCCGGTGTGTCTGCGGATATGGATAGTGAGATAATCTCTCCGGGCGAAGCGTTCGGTACAGTATTGGCATCCGAAGGGACGCTCCCCAGTGTGTTTGAGGATATGGCGAGTGAGAACACCTCGTTGCGTGAAGCATTTGTTACAGTATTGGCATCCGAAGAGACGCTGCATTCAGTAGTATCTTCCTATATCTTGCTTTCTCATACAACTCTAAAACACATCGATATTAGATTCCCACTGGTAAGCAGAGAGCATGAGTAGTCCTGGAAATTGACAAGCTCACCTCGTTGTATGACTGCTGTCAAAGATGTGAAAGGGCGAGCGGTGGACTCTTAAAAACACCGAATAAACCGACGAATGCAAACAACCGCTAAAGATGTTGAAGAACAAAGTGGTTTTGTTAAGGACGGGAAACATGAATATGCGGCGGGACAAACGCTAACGCTCCTATTGATGCGTTTTTCCTGGACAAGAGAGGATACGGAAGCTGTTCGAAAGAATGCCAGGACCAGAGCTGTTGCGAGAGTGGGAGTCTGCTAGCTAGAGCAAGTGACTTATGTAGGGAACCTTGACCCTCTGAGTGGAGATGTGCACAGTGTGCCGGAGAGGACATGGGGCTTTATGTCACCTTGTGCTTGGCTTGATCGCAGTTTGATCACTCGCGCCCGTTCGCAAGAAATTGTGCAATGAAAGACTGCTAGGGCTGCAGTACACGGCTGGTTGCCAGAGAGGGCTGAAGATGCAGTGGGTCGCTAGAGCGAAAGCTCCCCGAACCCCATCCGTCGTTGCACGTTCCTGGCCAGTATTGAGATGAACGAAACGTCCCGCAGTCCCCTTGTTCGCGAGAAAAGCAGCGCCACGCCCAGGCTCCACCATGTGTACTTAGTACTCTGTCCCCAGCGCCTTATGTTTCTGGGGTCACTCATCGCAGAAGCCAGGCCAACCGCAGCAACTGGACCCGCCACCCTTCTGCATGCTGGTCCGTGCATCGGCTCGCTCCCCGTCTGCTCTTTCAATTGAAAAGTGGAGCCCGCACACCCTGACTTTGGGTACGACGAGATGTCATTTGGCACAGCTCTATTTGGCTGCGTCTTGCGGACGGGAACCCCAGCACAGCGAAACAGCCCTCACCGATGCCACTAGGCCGACTCCAGGGCGTAGACCTAGCAGCAAATGGCAAAAGACCATGCAAGTTCAGTCTTGATTCGCGAGCTGAGCTTCCAACATGGTGCTCTCCGACATGACCGCAGAGACCACCAATTGACTTTGCGCTCGCACGCCTTCCAAAGCGGATGGACACCACTTGCAGGCAAGCAGCGCCGACTCGTCACTCCCACCTCAGCTGTGATTAGACTCGTCTTGCCCCGCTGTCAAGTCGCGGTCACTCAAGCACTGCTGTAGCATCGACACGTCCTTTCCGTACGTTCAAGCCAATCCACTCCGACCGCCCTCAATGGCAGCCTTGTCAGTATGTCAACCACTCTTCTGCTCTCCACCGTCCGCTGCTGCCTGACATGATCCTAGTGTAGACCCGACAAAGTCCTATCTATTAGCGCTACCTCCCCCAGGTCTTCGTGGCACGCCCGGTGTCAGGCTCTTTCTGCCGTCGCCAAAGGTCATGCGCCTCTTTCTTCCCAAGCATCACAGCCCCTATCCACTTACAAAGGATTCTGGTACACTATATTAGTCGTGTCCCATCATTGCTTACCTTTCCATTCCGCTGTTCGATAACACCCGCCGGCTGCTTCCCCGAACTACGCCTGCCTTGAGACTCACGACAGCAACGGAAGACATCTCTTAATTGGTCAGGGCTCTGGCTAGTTATGACGGTACGATGTCCGACAATTCAGTCAACCAGCATTTTCGTGGACAGGTCCGCTCTTGGGGCACTGCCAACAAGCCCAATGGACGCGATGGCGACGCCAACGAGAGCTCGCCGCTACTTGTAAACGGCAACTCGGCGAACCATGAGAACCAAGTCGCCAATAGCGACAGCGGCAATAAGACGCTCAAGTTCATCTTCAACTCGACACATACCCCGGGCACCGATAGCCCCAACATCGCCGTTAGGTATTCCTCGCGGGCGTGGCACTTCACCAAGGTGTCGCTCTTGAGCAGTAAGTCGTCGCATCCATCCGCGCTTCGGTGAAACAGGCGATCTTGCGCCGCAGTTGCTAACAACCTGCTCTCGTCACAGACTATGTCAACTTTCTTCTTGTTATGGTGCCTCTTGGCATTGTTGCTGGAAAGCTTCACTGGAATCCGACTGCCGTCTTCCAGGGCTCATCATAAAGCAATCAAATCAACTTTGAGGCTGGAATTGATTTGTTTGATGAGCCTCGGACACAAAATTGATTAACTTGGTTTGATTGCTTCCTCTCAATCAACTGTATGGCCAGCGTACATACCTACTATTCGAACCTACTTCGCACACCTCCATCTCTCAATTACTCACCTAACCCCCCAGCTTTACCCCGCCGTGTCGGACCCAGTTCCTCAGGCAATGAACTCGCTCCAGAGTATCTGCGCCCATTGAGAGCCTTTGAGATGTCAGCGTCAGCTTGGCCAGGCTGAACTGTCTCTCGCAGTCAGTTGCCATCGCCGGAATGGCAAACACATCCAACGCAAACCTGCTTAGGACCGGGAATGACGTCTTGTGGTCTCTCCACCATTCGATCGGCTCCTGCGTGTCTTGTGGATCGAGACGGAGGTACTTGTCCAGCTCGCTGACGCTGCCACCTGTTGCAAATCTTCTTTTCGTTCTGCTGTTGATCCATTGAGTGTAATGATCATCTTGCTTGCCTAGCGTTCTTGACAACAGAAGCGACTTCGGCTGCTCCTCGTCCTTCGGCTGCTGCGTGTCATACCACCGTGCGAAGTAGTCCGTTATGCCCATCTTCGCATCGCGGACCCAGGCCACCTGCTCCTCAGTAACCCAAGTAGCCTCCAGCCAACCGATGCCGAATCTCGGATGAAGGATGACTGCTGCCGCGAACAAGGGAGACTCCCCAACCTTGCTGTAGTACTCATCCAGCTTCTTCCAGCCATTGTTGATGGATGCTCGGATATATGCTCGGTGCTCTGCTGGTAATGAGCTCTTCTGGGAGGTCTCATACGCTGCCGGCTTGTCAAGCGCCGTATATTCAGTCTGCGAGTGCTCAGGCAAGGCAGCTACCGTGAATTCGCGTGGCCTGATATCGCCATCGAAACGCCCTCGGTTTTGTTGAGCCCTTTGGCTTCCTCGACCTGGTAAATTGGAGATGTATATGCGGCCTGAAGCAAATCTCGTTCAATGTTGAATAGACCGGTGAGATTTCGCTCACAACCTCGCAGTGTAAGGGATGGGTCAGGTTCTATTTTGCAACCACCTGGGATGCGCACTGATCTGACACCGTCCTTGATTTCCACCTTCACACCAAAGTATACTAAAGCAAGATCTGGTACCTTTTCTGCCGCGATTCCGATTTCCATCTGGCATCCAAAATGCTCTCGAATATTACCTTGTTGAAATATCATCGAGATATCGGCTAACCATGTGCCGGCCTGCTCGTTCTTCGGTATTCTTTGGATCGAGTCCCAGAATTGGTCATGGATCAGTTCTTCGGCTTGCTTGAGTGGAGCTCCAACAAATATGTCCCTTTCAGAGACTGCCGGTATATGGTCAGGGGCTTGTTCTGAAGTACAATACTCGGTGTTGATGGAGTGCGGGATGACATCACTTGGCGTTATGGAAGGGGGCACAGAAGCTGCCGTGTGGTTCGCGACACCTGAAAGAGTTTCAGAAGAGAGACCTGGTTATTTGATGGAGTACCTACGACGACGTTTAACAGCTTGCGTCAAGCCGTTCGTGGTTTCGCTTTCCATTGCCGAGGCAAGCCGAATTGCGAAGGCACGCTTGGACTGGGTAGGCTCACTCTCGAACTTAGCGAGTAAATTTTGCAGTTGGGCCTGACCGGAGAACCCGTGTGATGATTTTGTCGTTTTGTTTGTGGCGTAGTATGCATACCAGGCTGATTCGCTGGTGTCGACAAGGATCCGCTCTGTAGAAGACGTATCGGCCTCTTCGGCGCGCTGTAAAGCCGCTTTCGTCCCGTACGCACCACGCTTCAACGTCCGAATGTGCTGAGTCAACAGTGTGGTGAGCTCAGTCCAATAATCTGGGTCGTTACCCTCCCTCCTTCCCCCAGGGGGTACAGATAAGTGGCACTGTCCATAGACCAGAGCCCAACCGCTAGCCTATAGATTATCAATCCTTCTCTCGTTACCAATCATGCTATCCAATCCCAATTCGCCATATTCTACAGAGAGATGTACCGTCGCCGATCTAACATAGCTTACAACGTGGCAGTTTGACCAACCAGGTCAGCTGAATTCATTATCCTCGACCTTCTTACTCATATCACCACAACCTCTACCACTTGGCTTTGCCTTGCTTTCCGCTTCGGATTCTACACAACAGCATATTCACAGTCCACAGATGCTTCGCAACCCGTGCGGGTATCCTTGTGATAATAACAACTGCTTTACGTTGATTGGCCGATATCTTGGTTTGTCTGTTTTCACCAGAATTGATGCTCCAAATCTGCATGCCTAGCTTCGGGGCCGAGTCTGCGGCCACTGCAACAATCCAATCAGGAAGGACTTGAACCCAAGGTATTCAAGATCCAAGACATTCGTATCAAGCTCACTTTAGGAAACAAATAATCATTTGGATATTGGTGGGAGAGATGCTCACCTCATTGGTGGTCGCCATACACACTCTCACTTCCAAGGGGGCCCTGCTACTGTGCCGCAAATCCAGGCCTGCCCTCGACCGGGCGCCTGAGACCCGCAATGTGACTGATGATATGATTGATAGGTAACAGAAGTCTTTATAGGGTCTGCGGACCAAGCGTCTCATTTCTGGTCGGTACAATATGGTGAGTCTGTGTCTAACTACATAAGGATCAGCATAACCTCTTCCCACCAAGCTCGTTGCGTCTGGAAATCACTCTTCGACTATCAAATCTGTTCACGAATCAATCCTCTTTCTCTCCTGCCTGCCTTGACCTATCTCACCATGAGCTTGATGCAGGACTTCGTCGTCAACAGGCTCAGAGACGACGCGGTGCGCCATGACGAATGGGCTACCAAAAAGTTCTGGCTTCATGTCCTCAACAAATTCGTGTTCACCGAATCACACTACGTTGTGTCCTCCGAGCAGCCTCCTGTGTCCTTGGGAACTCAAAGACGAGTTGACATGGTCGTTGAGGATGGGAGTGGAGGAAAGCTTTTCCTCTTGTTGTTCATCGAAGCAAAGAAGGGTAGAGCCGCTGGTGGAGATATTGCAGAGATGGAATCTCAGGCGTACTCTGCAGGTTACGAATACTACATGGAGAATGAAAGAAGAAATCGCATATGGGCAATGACTTGCTACGGCTCTTGTGCTCGTTTCTGGGCCTTCGACTTCGAAGAGCGATCAGGTTTGCCCACGCCATTCTTCCCACGCGAAGGAAATCACGGAGAGAAATCCGCTTACGCCGACTTCAAGAGCTTTGAGCATGAGATCATGGAGGCGTTTCGTTACATTAAAGAAAACCCATTACCTCCCGACTCGGTTTTTGCCGCATCTCCAGCGGCATCGGTGACTTCAGATCTTGGCCTTGCCGGCCCCAGCTCTGCTACGACGGACATCTTGACACCGGACACCGCAACTCTAGTTCGAGTTGTGAGAATCCGCAGTCAGGGCCCGGAGGTTGAGACTCGCAGAGGAAACAGAACGCAGACTGCGCAAGCCAGGTGGTCGCCGGCGCAGTGCTTGGTGGATGGGGAAGTTATTGATGGCTACAAATACGTGGGTAATTCAGGTACTGTGTACTGGACGATGAATTCCATCTCACCTTGAATTGCTATGGGCAAAAGGACCGTAGAAGAGTGATTGAAATAGCACAAATGGCATCAGATCTGAACAATTCCGGTCAAAGTATTTAAATTACATTCATTGCCATCTCCGTGGCGGTCGCCCAGACTTGCAAGGTATCCTCTTCAGAGCAACGGGTCCAGCCTGCATCGGGGCAGCTGCTGTCAACTGATATTGGGAATAATTTCACCTTCACGGTGCGGCGAGATGATGCATTCCCTCGCAGATATTCACTAGGTGCGAATGCAAAGTGCGCCAAATCTGCACACCTCTCTGCTGGGTCAACCCCTAATCGACAACACCCGAGCGCTTGCTGCGACCCATCAAGATATTCGATGATGAGGCCTCGGCAGAAATCTGCCATGCTGTCACGAAAAACCCAGATGCACGCAACGTTCTTTAGCAGAGCTGATGAATAACAGGCGTCTGATAGAGGGGAAGGGCTCGCAGGAGGTGAAGGAGAAAGCTCAGAGCACCCGAGACCCTTAGGAACTACCCCTAAGATGGACAAAGGTTTGTTTTCTGGAACAGTATATACCAGAGCTGACTGGGTCGAAATATGTGCGGCGTAGTCCTTTACTGTCCCGTCATAATATGTCCCAACAGTGAAGTCTCCCCGACAAGGCGTACGGATCTTGTACTACTTTAGCTGTGCTATTTGAATGGCCGGGCTACAACTCACTAGGTAAGAAAAGTTGTTTGCCAGAAGCCGACTCTCAGAATTGACTTTGAGCCGAACTCCGAATACAGATATCTTGTCTGCTGGTGGGTTTGGCACATATACCCATCTGATATGAGGATGGATTGAAAGTGGGAGCCGCGCAAAAGTTGCTTCTGCGAAAGGCATAGTTCGAGTATGAGCGTGTATCGCATGGGTATCGCTTTTGGTCATGAAAAAGGTGATTCCTGAACAAGAGGCCAGGTCGATAGTCGCAAGACGTACATCAGGTGTCTGGGAGGGAAAGCGAAAACACTTCAAGTTGGCGAGATGCGGTATATCTGTGATTTGGAACTTTCTTGGTTCAACGATTGGTGCAAGTCGACCAATACCAAACTTAAGAAATACAGTTAGGAAATCTGGTAACGCTGCAAAAGAAATGTGTTTAACTGACTTGAAAATCGATATTTTGGCTCTGAGTAGCCCTGATAGTCGTGTAGACTCTGAAGTAGGACTGAGACTTGTGCGTTGGAGACTCCAGCCTCTCAATACACTCGATGCCCCTTGAATCAATTGTTATTTCAGTGAGAGAATCCGAAGTGCCCTCGCTGATGATGGGACGGCTCCCGCGGCGCCAACTTTCAACCTGATGAAGAGGTGTTGATATTAATTTATCGAAGTCTGTGTGAGAGAGGAACTCGACTAGTTCAAGGACTGCGGAAAAACGCAACAAGTCATGTTGCCCCGCGAGGGTCCATATCATGGTGATAATCTCCTTTGGAAGGTTTGTCAGCCTCCTGAGGTCGTAGATATCTGCTGCAAGACGGCTAGCGCGATCCGTTTCTAGCCTTGGAGGGAGCAACAGAGCCGGGCTTCCAGGCCACGGATATCTCCCAAGTGAAGCGGACCAGAGTCGGTGCACTTTGTTCGGGTGAGTTGCCCGTCTCTTGTAAAGATCGAAACAATCTGCGTGGATCGTAGCGGTCTCGCCGGCCAATGCACACTCTCCGCATCGAGGGAATCGGCAGAAAAATAGATTCTGTTTGACTTTTCCGTAGTGTCCCTCAGGAAATACAAGAGCATTTAGAGCTTCGCAGCAGGCCCCCAAGGCGTCGGTTTGCAGGACTTTGAAAGTGGGAACCGCCATGGTTAGCTGGGTACTCTTGAAGAATGTGGCAGAGAACAAATAATACATACGGGCAACTAGACGATCATTAACATAGAAAATAAATCCACAAGCGCCACACTGAGAATGGATGCGCACATGATGAAGTTTGTCTTCTTCAGTATCATGTGGCTTCGTGGGTCGGGACATCGTGTCCTACTTAGTCGCCAGTAAGGGCTCGGATGCTTGAATTTCAAAGCTTATGGGGAAATTATCAAAAGATAGGCGCGTTGTAAGGTATGGAATATATTGAGAGGTTGAATCGAAGGAGCTAGAACTGATGGATAAGGGCGTTTTCTTACCCTTCCGGCGCCATGCGAGTTGGTGACAAATGTATGATGCTAAAATGAGGATAGGAATCTTCCAAATCCTCACTCATAGGGGCCGCTACTTTAACGCCCGGATAACGATGGTTTGTCAGCCAGCGCGCTAACATTAATCCGAGTGCCACTGTAAGTCCCTCTGTGCGGCTGTCTATGAAAGTAAAAGAAACCGAAAAACATCAACAACAGCGAGAACAAAAATTTTGAAAATTAGCATTAAATCGAGCGAAAAACGCCTGCTCGCAGCCACAAAGGCTTCTCTGGGCACAATGCCATCCTCGGCATTGATCCTGCTTTCAAGAGGGCCCATGTGTGGTTGCAGAGCAGGCCCTGACCCCGAAATATTCGAGAGCAAGCCGCAAAAAACGACGTGTCAATAGACAACACTATCGCCACCATCGCGGGCGTGACAGGCCGCTACACGAAGCACAACGACTGCACCCAAACAACCAACATCAACACAACTGCCACCGACAGGTTCTGGGTTGCCTGTCACCCCCGACAAAGTTTGCAACGTCCCACAACGACGACGACAATTCCGACAGAACGGTATCACCTCCGGCATAGAGAAAGCACCAGACCTCAGGCATGCTACGATCGATGCCACACAATACTACAGACCACAGACAGATTGGCTCTCTGTCGCCCCTTTTGCGAAGAAGGATTGGTGTCCCTTCAACGCGCGACAATGTCTGCGGAGTCTGTGTGGGAGCTCTCATACCCAGTAATCGATCAACCATGGCTAAACACATCACACACAGAACATATTCCGGCAGCGTCTTGCAGTATTTTTGCTCAATCTAGGCCACTTTTGTTCGAGCCAGTCTACATATCAATCCAGATTTAATTGGGGAAGACTACATTTCCAGGCCTATTACCTCCCTCTGGACCCTTGAAATACGTGGCTCAGGCCATTGAATCAACGTTATTCTCTGCTGTTGACTCATTTAGAAAGCTTCCAGTTGATTTTCTGAAAGAGCGACGTCCGCTAATTTCCCTCAAGATCCATTCGTTTGCGCGGGTGAAGTCTGTGTTGGGTTGCTGTTCCCGGACTGAGAAGTTAGTAACGGCATGCTACCACAAACCAGCCAGAAGTACCTGAACTTTGTCCATTCCCATGGACGTGTGGACTTCCGTAGTAGTCTTCTGCTTGTATGGGTCGTTGGAGCTGTCGGGCATAATGCCAACTTTTGTGCGGCTGACGACTTAGAGAATCTAGGGATATACGTTCGAAACCCGCTAAGAAAGCTAGCAGGGGATGATAGGAAGTCAAAAGGTGGACGATCTGGGCTGGGCTATAATTCAAGACCTTTGGTTTACTGACTATGAACCAGAACTTCAGGCTTTATAGTTTCTAGACACCCTGCGAGGATCCTCACTTCACTCGGTGGTTCAGACTGAAGTAGTTGTTGAACATCAAGGGAGCTCATGTGTGGTCGCCGCCTTGGTCGGCTGTGCCATGGCAATGCAGAGGCCTTTGATGCATGCAAAGGCTGCGGTAGTGGGGATGTCAAGATGACCTTCCCATGTCGTTCGCATACGGCCAGGTGCCCTTGGCTTCTCGGGATACGGTGACCATCATCATCGGCCATTCACCATATCTTGAGACTACCGATATATCCAAACCTGCCCTCCTCGGCTCCTAATCCTCAAAGGCATCGAAAATTGGCCAATCCTGCAGCCATATACCTTCCAATCACAACTGACCGACGGTTCGCCGAGAGCATGACCAGGGCAAATGCAGCGACCTGCTTCGCCTTCCAACCGGGATGAAGCCTGATGTCTCCGTGGTTCGTATGCTCACAAACTCAGAGATGCAGCTAAGAGGCAGAAGCGAGGCCTGGACATAAGGAGGTGGCGATCTGCAGGTACTCGCAGGTACCGTTCGTCCTGGTTTCCGTATCCCATTGCCAGATGGTCTAACATGCGGCCGCTGGGATCTTTGCTGGTTCCGGCATGAGCAATGGTCTTTGTTGTCGGTTGGGCCATGCCGAAACCATGCCAATGATCGGTGAACTACTCTTTCCGGCATAGTGACGGATAGAATCGTGTTGCCGCTGAACTCCCATGGATCGTCAGGACGCCATGAACACGTCAAGAATGCATGCAGGAGATTGATTCATATTACAACCAAGCCAAAGGTCGACATTCCCGTTCATGGAACGCATGCAGGGCTAAGGATGCGGCCTTGAGGCAGCCACACCGGTGGAAACGATCCAAAGTCAGGAATTGTTCAACAGGGATCATTAGTACAGGTTGTTCACTGAGAGATGAGTGAATCGAGATTGAACTGAATTGCTGGTTTTGCAGCAACAAGGATTAATTTCCGTCCATGGCCCTTGAGGAGGCCGGTTATGCGGCCACCTTACCCTTGGTACCAGCCCTGACAACCGCGACGACTTCTCGGGAGTAGGAGAGACTGGTTCAATAGTATCGTTCAGAGAAGTCGATAACGAAGACCAACGGCAACATGAATCTTATGTCACTCGATACATGGTCGCCTTGCCCGACAAGGCCATGACGATGTAGAAGCTGTGTTGCAAGTACTGTCATCCAATGGCAAATCGATTTCGATATCAAGGATCAAGTAGCGTTGTTCATTAAAATGTAGCCAACATGGGCTCTTGTCTTTTCTCTATCTGGTGACAATCATCGCCAGCCAGTTCTCCAAGATAAAGCCCTGAGGCTATTTCAATACATCCAAACTTGCCCTTCTCGGCCATTCAACCGACTGAGTTCTTCTTCGCCTGCATGTCTTTCTCTCGACCATTGGAACGCCTTGAACACGTGTGATGCAACAGCGTGTTTCTTCTCGGTCGGTGTAAAAGCTTATATTCTC